TCCTTAATATTTGAATAATTTCATCTTTGAAGTGGTAACTCACTCCAAGCCTTTGTAAATTATCAATCAACTCCAACTTCTCTAATTCTTGTGATTCCTCATGAAGCATCATCATCAAATGCTTTTTCATTTCTGCCTTCAGCTCGTTAAATCGCTTCATATATTTTTCTCCCTACGTAAAAATAAAACTTAATAATTATTATCTGAATGATATATAGAACAATCAGTTCGTTATATTACATTTACACATGAACAACTCGCTCCATTGTGACGATCAAATAAGCAAAATTACTAGTACGTATATACTCATTATTGAAATATTAAATATCAACGTATGGTAACGTAACACAAGGATAAAGAAAATGTACATACCACATGATGATTGTGTGTGGACTGAATATATTCATAATTCCACATGGTAGGCTCGTAATTCCCTGAACGCCTAATAGGATTAATTATTCCATTTGAAGATGAAATTATATTAGTGGAAATATTAGGAGAATAATTAAGTGGCTGTCCAGTGGAGAGGCTGCAGGCTTTTGATACAAAGGCCTTTGGTGGGCTAAATGATGAAAAAGGGGTAACTAAATATCTTGTGGAGAATATTGACATGGCAAAATTTTGGATCCCCAAATTGATTTTTTTCTTCAATAACTATTTAAAATGAAAATCTTTTAGCTATATAATTGTTTGTGTATATATATCCCAAATAAAATTAAAGTTCCATATATATAGAGAGGGGATATCAAAAGGCACGTTTTTCTTTTCTAAGGATCATTGAAAGTCGATGTTACGTATTAGCTTCACACACTTGTATAAATATATTTCTCTATTTCTAATTAATCGTCTACTTTTAAATTGACATACCAATTAAGAAAATAATTATTGACATGGTGAGTTTACTATTTTACTCATGTTAATTATGAAGTTAATGAATTAAAAACTTAAGATTTTCAGGAAGTTCTACTTGTTCAAAGTAATTAATTGAGGGCATAATAGGTAAAAATATTTTATCCTTTCTTGATTTGTCAAAATGAAAAAGTAATTAAAAAAAATAAACAAGTAAATAGAGAGAAAAAATATTAACTAGTAAATTGTTCGTGCTTCACCAGGTTATGAAAAACGATAAAATGTTATTATACAGACATATAATTGATTTCATAGAATAATACATTTGGTTAGTAGTTAGATTGCTTCTACAGAGCCATAAGTTATTTTTTAAAAATCAAAAGAAAATACAAACTTACGATGATAAAAAATTTGTATGAAATATAAAACAAAGAGAAATCAAGAACTACAAAAAAAATGCAACATTATTTTTATAATGTTAATCATTAAAAAATAAAAAGAAAACATACAAAATCAATAAATAATTTTTCGAGCTTTTGTCTACGTTCATTCTCACAGGCTAGTCACTATTAAATAGTCTTCTTTTCATTTTTCAAGTTAAGTAAAAATGAATAAAATAAGTACAAAAAATGTAACAATTTAAAATAATGCTAATATAATCATCTCTCCAAATTCTTACAATATTTCTAATTATAGGATTATAAAATGCATAATAAATAATGTCATGAATATGACTTTTAATTGTTTTAGAGGTTATGATGATAAAAATCACGCAAATAATGAAAATAAAGACTATTAAATTTTGCATTAAATTTTTTTTTAGCAATTTGAAATTGAGCATTTAATATAACATTTGCTATACATGAATCTCTTGTCAAATTCTTGCAATAAAATTCAAGTAATAAAATTTGACTTAGATTCAATTAAAAAAGAAAAATAATTATACATTTCCTCAAATAATCTACTGGGAGCCTATCTATGAAATTCGATCCGTTTATCAAATATTAAGAAGAAGATACTCTTTTCCCTTTTAACAAAAAAAAAAAAAACAACCCGCACTAAAATAATCAAATCTCATGTGATGAAAATATCTTAAAACAATATATTAGGTATATAGTACTATTTTATAAAGTAGAAAAAGATTGTGATTCTTGATCAAAAAGATAATCAGTATAGTCCACCTAGTTAATTAATTCTTAGCTCTCTTGTACATATAAATTTGATCATTTTTTTTGTAACAAAAATTTCTAATGCTCTATTTATAGGACATAATATAGAATATCAAAAGATATAATGAACATGATTATTATATGAGTATACTCCACCTAGTTAATATTTAGCTCTCCTGTACATATAAATTTGATCATTTCTGTTATAACAAAATTTTCTAATGTCTCTATTTATTGGATATAATATAGAATATCAAAAGATATAATGAACATGACTATTAGATGAGTATAGTCCACCTAGTTAATTAATCCTTAGCTCTCTTGTACAGATAAATTTGATCATTTCTTTTATATAAAATCTTCTAATGCTCCATTTATAGGATATAATATGGAGTATCAAAAGATATAATGAACATGATCATTAGATGATTATAGTCCACGCTGTTTATCCTTAGCTCTCTTGTAAAACATAAATTTGATTATTTCTTTTGTAATAAAATTTTCTAATGCTCTATTTGTAGGACACAATATGGAATACCAATATATATAATGAACATGACTATTAGATGAGTATAGTCCACCTAGTTAATCCTAAGCTCTCCTGTACATATAAATTTGATCATTTCTTTTGTAATAAAATTTTCTAAAGCCTCTATTTATATGACATAATATGGAATATCAAAAGATATAATGAACATGACTATTAATAAGAACTAGGGTTATGATTATCAAAAGTCATGGGAGTAATAAAATAAACACCATTAAGGTTTTATATTAAAGAACATAAATAAAATGAGTGGTAGTTGACACATTCATTTTTGTACAATAATAATAAATAAATAAAACATAGTACAAAAAATGCAAAAAGGAGTAAATAGAATCTTTAGCCAAAGAGAGTGTCACATCACTTTTCTTTTATCTAATTTTATATACATAAATAGATATAGATTTAGCTCTTGATATACACGTTTTTAAATGTTAGATTTTCTTAATTAGATATGAAGATTTAGTATAGATATAGATTTAGCTCTTGATATACACGTTTTTAAATGTTAGATTTTCTTAATTAGATATGAAGATTTAGTATAGATGTGACATTAGATTGTGATTAGTTAAAAAATATCGACCGATCGACATAGAGAGTCGTATGATTCGCTAAGGAATTTTCGTGCTTGCATAGTAACAACCAAATTAATTAAAACAAATCGTATTTTTTATAGAGAAACTGTTTTGATATGATGTTTCACCAAATATGCATCAGCTTCAAAAAGATAGCATTGGCAAGAGATTGTGCAAATCTTATTTGATGCTGACAGCACAGTAATTCAATGTAAATAATGAGATACTAATTAATCTTGCAAATACTCTTTTTTATGTCAAAATTCGTAAAAAAATAGGAGTAACTAAAGTTGCTAACGTTTTCCACAACACTTCTTCCAAATTATCTCCTTTAGCGTCGCTTGGTACAAAAAATAATAATGCAGGGATTAGTAATGCAATAATGTATAAATTAGTAATGCAGAGATTAGTAGTGCAGAAATATTAGCAATGCAGAGTTTATTTTTATCAAGCGTTTGGTTTATTGTTTCCCACTTCATCTTGTATTTGATTTAAAAGTCTATAAAAAAATTTCTTTTCAATTATGCCCTTGATTTATTATGTAATTGGCTCAAGATAGATATTTGTCGGACAACACTATTTTTTATGGCCTTCAAACTAGGGTTAATATTTCAAAAGGTCACTCACACTTTGATATTTATCTAACAAGGTCATTAAACTTTAATTTATATCAATAAAATCACTCAACTTCAATTTTTATATACAAAAATCATTTAACTATATCATTTATTAAGAAGTGAAGCTTTTCAAAATTTTGTTCAATATTCTCTATTGTTAACAACAATTGAACTTAATTCACCTTTTAATATTATTGTGTTTATCACTTCCCTTATTGAATTCCAGTTAACTCAGTATTGCAAAAATATATGTATGTATACGCACGATATAATTTACTATAAGTTAAAAAATATATTAATTGAACCTTATCTATGGAATTTGACATGAATTAACAGTTGCCAATTTGTGTTACAATATCAGAAAATACTGATTCTAATAAATTGTTCAGAAACACAAAGTAACTAAAATTTATAGAAACATTAAGAGAGAAGAACATAAATTTAATTCACAAAAAATCTGTAAAACGTACCAGAATGTGAATAATGTTTTAAGAACAAAAAATCAAGTTCACTGAACTCACAGTGTCCCCTTAAGGAAATTATTCCCCTCTAATATCCGAGGTCTGATTTGGAATATAACCTCCCATGATAGAATAATCTCAATCACCAGAGTATAGATACCAAAAACTCTGATGTCAGCGAACCAATCAACATAAAAAAAATACACGAAAAAAATTTTGTGCAGAAAAAGAAGAAACTCAGAAAATTCGTAAGTAAATATTCTGAAATATGAATAGTATTTATAGACAAGAAGAACAAGTTCAGAAAGATTGCAACCTCTTAGACTTATGAAATTTGGCATGAACTAGAAAACAGGGCGCATAGATGTGAGGAATGTGAAATAACAACCTTATCTACTGATTAGATTATAATTTGTCATTCATAATTAGTAAATATGAGAATTTCTAATCTAACTTTTTTATGTTTGATAATTTTACAATTTGTGTTAGTAAAGTCAAAAGTTAATAATATAGATATAAAATTTTTAAAACTGAATATATTGTGTTATTTTTATTCATATGAACCCTCTTGACCCTCCCTGGACAAACCTACGTACCGATGAATCAGATGATGATCGTCAAAGGAAGAGGAAAAGTTAGGTAGTAAATTGCTCTTAGTATTCTGATATATATACTATGGTTTTTTTTCTCTTTGTTTTGGAGGTTAACTGAGAAACTAAAGTAGCAATAAAATTCTTCTATCATCTAGATTTTTAACAAGCTATAGGACCATAACCAGGTCAAGCTTAAAATATACATGAGCAGCACTATTATATTAATGAAAGATAAACAAAACATAAGGGGTTGTTGATGCATTTCGTCATTATTAATTATTAGCATCCTTGATGATAAGATCTGGCTATCAATTTCATTATTATAGCTAGTTTTTTTATTGCCCTGATAATATCTAACCTATAGTCTTAAATGAATAGAAAATATTAGATATTGAGTAAAAAGTTCTTTCTTGAAAAGAACTAGGTACATACAAAATATAAAGCATTTTAGAATAACACTCAACATTATTTTATGGAATTGAAATTGTAATGGGCTCGAAAAATAATTGACGAATACGATTTTTTGTGTGAAGATTTTGAATCCCATAGCCATCTCCATGCTGGTAAATTGTGTGACTAGTTCTTGCACCATTTACTGCACATGCAATGAATGTTTCAGAAAATAAGGAATTCTCCTTTTGAAGAGCAGTGTTCATCAGTTTCCATGTCTCCTTTATCAACAAATTGATGTGTTTTCTTGCATCTTCTTCTGAAACACCCTTCTCATTCATGTAACACTGAATTGACTTGGGAACGTCACCTCTTTCCATTTCATCCTGATCAAGTAAGATTAGGTCTCTTTGCTTAAATCCCAAAACGAATATCATTATGTGTTGTATATATAAGTAGAGTTCAGAGGAATCATACCGAGGATGTCCCCAAATCATCTGTGAGACGAATAATAGTAGCAGAGCATTGAATAATGTCAGGATAACTGGTTAAGGATTCCAAGGCCTCTTTGGTAATTGGATTTGTGACAAGGAACAATGTATGTACTAATACCACTGGTGCTCCAATTGTAATCCATCCATTTTCCATGTATTCTTCAAGACTTGGTTTATATCCACTGTGGTACCATCTTGCTTCTCGTAAGTACGATTTACACAAATCTGACCACTAATTTAATAGAAACCAACATGTTTCAAATAAGTACATAGAAATTTAAATAGATTTTTCAAAATATATAGAGCTAAGTATTTTTACTGATTTCGTAAGGTAGATAACAACGTTGATCCCTTGCTCTTTGAGAACTTCGTACACAATTTCAGTGGTAGTGTTGAAGAGTGCAAGGTAACATATTTTCATATAATCTGGAAGTTGATCCACTGCTTTTACATCTGTTGTGCGGAATTTGAGAAAATATAAACGCGAAAAACAAGACAACAGATTTACGTGGTTCACCAATAAATTGGCTACGTCCACGGGAAGAGAGAGAGCAGTTTTATTATGGAGAGGCAAAAACAGAATTACAGAATAGGGTTTCCCATAGCGTCTATATATATATATATATATAGTGCTAAGCTATGCCCTAACAGGCTTGGGCCCAACATACAGAATCAACAGAAAATAAAGGGCCCAATACAACAACATTGTATACCGTCGGGCCGGGGGCGTCTCCGCCCCCCCGGACCCCAGGCCAGGGGGCGCGTCGCCCCCCTGGACCCCCCCGACTCGCTGACCGGGCAGCGAGACCCCCGTCCTTTCTGTTTGTAGCGGGTCCGATTCAAGGCATTCAACAAATCTCCACCTTGACTTGAATTCTCCGAACAGATTCTTCAGACGCACTATGATAGTGCCAGGCCTCCCCCTCTTCCTCAGAGTTGCCCCGCAGGGCAATTAACAGCTTCTGATGTTGAGCAAGTCCAAACAGTGTTGAAACTTGCTCTGTGGAACCGGCTTTGTGAACATATCAGCAGGATTATCAGCAGTTCCTACTTTCTTCACCTTGATTCTCTTCTCACTTCTCAGAAAATGATACCTTACGTCAATATGTTTGGTTCTCTCATGATGGACTTGATCCTTGGCTAGACAAATTGCGCTCAAACTGTCACAATACACCGTAGCCTGATCATGATGCAGACCAAGATCACTAACCAGCCCTTTCAACCAAATCCCTTCTTTTGCAGCCTCTGTCAAGGCCATGTACTCCGCTTCCGTAGTAGACAAAGTCATTGTAGGTTGCAAAGTTGCCTTCCAACTGACGACAGATCCTCCAAGGGTAAACACATAGCCAGTCATCGATCTTCTTGTGTCAACATCTCCAACATAGTCTGAATCAGAATAGCCAGTAACCAAGCACTGAGTATCACCTCCATAAATGAGACCAACGTCAGATGTACCTCTAAGGTACCGGAAAATTCTCTTCACAGCCTGCCAATGTTCTCTCACTGGTTGTCCCATGAATCTGCTCACTACACTGACTGCATGTGCTAAATCTGGCCTTGTACAGACCATAGAATACATCAAACTTCCTACGGCACTGGCATAAGGGACTCGTGACATATACTCCTTCTCTTCTTCTGACTGTGGAGCGAACATGGCAGTGAGATGGATATTGGCAGCACTGGGGGTATCAATGGGCTTAGATGAAGACATGCCAAACCTCGCCAAGACCTTCTGAATGTAGCTTCTCTGTGACAAGAAAAGTTTCCTTCTCTCTCTGTCTCTAATGATCTCCATCCCTAAAATCTTCCGAGCGGCTCCCAGATCCTTCATCTCAAACTCAGCACTAAGTAAACCCTTCAGCTTCTGAATGTCATACTTCTTCTTTGCAGCTATCAACATATCATCTACATAAAGCACCAGATAGATGAATGAATCATCATTGAGCCTATTGTAGTAGACACAACAATCATATGAGCTCCGAGTATAGCCCAACTTCACCATATAGCTATCAAACCTTTTATACCACTGCCTTGGAGACTGCTTAAGTCCATATAAGGACTTCTTCAACTTGCAGACGTGATTTTCCTTCCCTGGAACTTGGAAACCATCCGGTTGAGTCATGTATATCTCTTCCTCCAACTCTCCATGTAGAAACGCTGTCTTCACATCAAGTTGTTCAAGCTCCAGATTCTGATGTGCAACTATCGCTAGTAACACTCGGATGGAAGTATGTCTGACCACTGGTGAGAAGATCTCATTGTAGTCCACTCCCTCTCTTTGGTTGAAACCTCTGGCAACAACCCTGGCTTTATACTTGACTCCTTCTGCTGGTGATATCCCTTCCTTCTTCTTGAAAATCCATTTGCAAGTAATAATCTTTCTCCCCGAAGGCTGTATGACCAGATCCCATGTCTGATTCTTGTGTAGGGACTCCATCTCATCTCCCATAGCAGCAAACCATTTTTCAGAATCAGGACTTAAAATGGCTTCTTTGTAAGTAGACGGCTCAGATGTATCTACCTCTTCAGCAACCTGCAGTGCATAACCCACCATGTCCTCAAAACCATACCTCGTAGGTGGCCGAACTCCAACCCTCCTTGGCCGATCTTGAGCTATACTCTGATAGATATCTGATGGCATAGATTCTGGAATATCAGTTTCTGTCTGTGGCTCTTGATCCTCCTCTTCAGGTTCCTTTAAATCGCTCTCGTTCTGAATGACTTGAAGCTCCACCTGTTTGTCAAGACTCCCAGTTTCTGACGTAGTTGTAGGCTTCACAATGGTTCTAAGCAGAGAACTTTCATCAAAGACAACGTTCCTGCTCATAATAACCCTCTTTTCTGCTGGAGACCAGATTCTGAAACCTTTCACTCCATCTCCGTAGCCCACAAATACTCCCTTTTTAGCTCTTGGTTCTAACTTACCTTCACTGACGTGATAGTAGGCCATACAACCAAAAGCTTTCAGATTTGAATAATCAGCAGCTTTTTCTGACCACATCTCCATAGGTGTCTTGCACTGTATGCCTGTATGTGGTCCGCGGTTAATCAAGTAGCAAGCTGTACTAACCGCTTCTGCCCAGAATCTTCTATCTAGCCCAGCATTAGAGAGCATGCACCTTGCTCTCTCCAGAAGTGTTTGATTCATCCGCTCAGCTACACCGTTCTGCTGTGGTGTATTTCTGACTGTACGATGTCGAGCAATCCCTTCATCCTTACAGAATTGATCAAATTCAGACCAACAGAATTCCAGCCCATTATCAGTTCGCAACCTCTTGATCTTCTTCCCTGTTTGATTTTCCATCAAAATTTTCCACTCCTTGAACTTCTGGAAAGCTTCACTTTTATGCTTCATCATGTACACCCAAGTCATCCTTGAGTAGTCATCAATAATGGACACAAAAAATCTGCAGCCTCCCAAAGACTCAACACGGCATGGACCCCAGCAATCAGAATGGATATAATCAAGTGTGCCTTTTGTTCTATGAATGGCCTTTGGAAACTTGTTGCGATGTAGTTTTCCAAAAACACAATGTTCACAAAACTCTAGGCTCTTAACCTTATGACCAGCAAGAAAATCCTCCTTTGACAGAATTTGCATCCCTCTTTCACCCATATGACCAAGTCTCATGTGCCATAACTTAGTCATATCCTTCTGGTGAAATTCTGACGATGCAATATGGGCTGAACCTGTAACCGTGGAACCTTGTAGAAAATACAAAGTACCACGCATGACACCTTTCAGAATCAGATTTGAACCCTTCCAGACCCGCAAGACTCCATCTTTTCCCGACCAGCTGAATCCCTTGCTGTCCAAAAGACTGAGAGATATCAGATTTTTCGTCATTAATGGAACGTGCCTGACCTCGTTCAATGTGCAAAAGCTACCGTCATGTGTCCTTATCTTGATCGAGCCTGTCCCAACCACCTTGCAGACAGAACTGTTGGCCATCGAGATGCTGCCTCCGTCTACCTGCTCATAAGTCGTGAACCACTCTCTCCTAGGACAGATGTGATAGGATGCCCCAGAATCGAGAACCCACACATCTGAATGATGAGTGTGCTCATCCGCAACTAGGGCAATATCTTCTTCAGAATTGGTGTCTTCTTCAGCAGCAGACACTGATTGTTTTCCGATTGCTTCTTCTTCTTCGGACAATCAAATTTCCAATGTCCCTTCTCCTTGCAGTAATTACAAACATCATCCGGCTTTGCACCCTTCGACATCGGCTTATTTTTCTTTCCGTCGTTTTTCCTTTCCTTTCCGCTACTGGTGAACAGACCGGAAGGCTGTATGTCCGTACTTGTGCCGTTAGCTTTGTGCCGTAATTCCCTGCTATGAAGGGCCGATCTGACTTCTTCCAGTGACACAGTATCTTTCCCAACAATGAACGATTGAACAAAATTCTCAAACGACATTGGGAGAGATACTAACAGAATCAGGGCAGCATCTTCATCCTCGATCTTCACATCGATATTACGTAATTCTAATAACAAAGTATTCAATTGCTCTAAGTGTTCCCTGAGTTGTGTACCTTCAGCCATTCGTAAACCGAATAGACGTTGTTTCAGAAGCAGCTTGTTGGTTAGAGATTTTGTCATGTACAAACTCTCCAGCTTCAACCACAGACCAGCAGCAGTCTCTTCATCCGAGACCTCCGTGATGACGTCATCCGCGAGACACAGCATGATCGTCGAGTGCGCCTTTTCCTCCAGAATCGCCATCTCAGGAGTAACGACGGCGTTCTTGTCTTTCGACAACGGCGCCCAGAAACCTTGCTGTTTCAACAAAGCCCGCATCTTGATCTGCCATAAACTGAAACTGTTCCTCCCTGTGAATTTGTCGATTTTCACGTTCAAAGCAGACATCTCGAATTCTCCAAGAACACCGATTAACCAAGAGGCTCTGATACCAATTTGTTGTGCGGAATTTGAGATAATACGAGAAAATATAAACGCGAAAAACAAGACAACAGATTTACGTGGTTCACCAATAAATTGGCTACGTCCACGGGAAGAGAGGGAGCAGTTTTATTATGGAGAGGCAAAAACAGAATTACAGAATAGGGTTTGCCATAGCGTCTCTATATATATATATATAGTGCTAAGCTATGCCCTAACAGGCTTGGGCCCAACATACAGAATCAACAGAAAATAAAGGGCCCAATACAACAACATTGTATACCGTCGGGCCGGGGGCGTCTCCGCCCCCCCGGACCCCAGGCCAGGGGGCGCGTCGCCCCCCTGGACCCCCCCGACTCGCTGACCGGGCAGCGAGACCCCCGTCCTTTCTGTTTGTAGCGGGTCCGATTCAAGGCATTCAACAACATCCATTCTGAATGTTAAGGTGTAATATTTTCATATATATATGTACATATATCAATTATTGTGACTTTAAAGTATATTAGCGGGAAGTTATTAACCTTTGAACAGCATCAGTGAAGATTTCCAATTCATCAAGAGTGCCATAAACATCATAAATGTCATCTATTACTGTAACCATAGCAAGGACCTTTGTCAACATTGTTCGGCAGTAATCGTTCTTTTGAGGTTCAAACATCATGCCTGCGATCCATAATAAAGACTCCACAATTCTATCCCTTGTAAATGGCAATTTTTCTGCAAGCAATGACTTGTTCCACCACCTTAACTTACATAAAAAATAATGCTTCACATGTACTGTATACAGTAAACTTATCCATCTCTCGGATTTAACTTTGTATAGGGAAAAGCTCACATTATCACGATAATTTAATTTGTATGTTACTCGATCAGTAAGCGGATGGACATGAATTTGGTGATATTTCAAAAGAAGTAAATTGAAGTCATGTGTTTGGACATAGAATTTAACTCAAACAAATGTTGATCTACTTGAAAAGTGGTCAGAACTAGTTTTCAAGCTCAACTTCAAGTTGATGCAATGTTTCGTGGGAAAAAGACTGAAAAATTATTTAAAATGTTGTATTTTCAATCAGTATTTTAATGTATTCTTCTTCGACTTAGTATCTACTTGTATATTTTTGAATAACTTGATATACGATTATTTACCTCTACCTAGGAGCTCCCATGCGCCCTTTTTAACTCACCTTGACAGATTTTTTAAATCTTGTTGATGTGTTGCTTGCAGAATGTTGAAATCCAATTTAGCAAGCTCCGGCAGAAGAGGATTAGCATTTGGGATTTTCTCATAAATGTCAATGTACCATCTTGTCTCAACTCTCAACATCTTGCAACGCAAAGGAAGTTCTAGGGCATGACGCACTAGTTCTATTCTCCAATTCTCTTGATCATCACCCTTTAAATTGTGCAAATAATCCTTTAGATGTGACGTTGCAAATGTATTGGCGGACTCCAAGGTTTCAGATTCTGTAGAGAGAAATGAAGCTTCATATAATTGTAATAATCCTTTTGTATCTTCACAATGACTTTGCTTGAAGTTACCCTGATCATCCTTGAAATCGTTCAATATATCTGTAGGGGGGAAAACGAGTAGATATAAAGATATAAAAAAATGACCAAACGAAGAAACTCATTAGAAAAAACAGATCAGAGCACCTTGAGAGATATGAAAACCATGTTGTCTGAGGAGCCTAAACTTCAAGGCTGTAGAGTATAACGAATTATCTGTACTAGTAATTTTTTGTTCATGTATACTCTTCAATATTTGCATAATTTCATCTTTAAAGTGGTAACTCACTCCAAGCCTCTCTAAATTATCAATCAACTCCAACTTTTCTAACTCTTCATCCTGTGATCCCTCCACCGTCATCATCATCTTCTTCACTTCTTTCTTTAGTTCGTTTAAACGCTTCATATACTTATCTCCCTATGCAACACATTTACAAATTAAATGAATAAACATGTGACGTGAATATAATGTATAGAGAATATATGTATGTGTACCGCATAAGGATTGTGTAGGGATTCAATAAATTGAAAATCCCATAGGGTAGGCTTGTAATTCCCTGAACGCCTTGTGGCGGAAATAGGATGTGAGTGCTTAGTAATAATAATGTTATTAGCAGCGTGACGACGGAGTGAGGTAAATAATGATGGTCTCTTGTAGGTGACCATAATCATCCTTATGTTACTTAATATTGAAACCATTTTATTTATTCTGCTCAATTATTTTTTATGATGTTGAACGTGAAAGAATATAAAGAATTTTTTTTTTGTATATCAAGAGAAACCTCCTAGGGATTGAATGGTAAAAAAATCAACTATCTACCTACGTACCTAGTACATACATGTACTATGTGTAGTACAAATATAATCCAAATCTTAGATACTTAAACTTTAAATAAGACGTATGCATATGATAAAATGGAGGAAATTAAGTTGTAATGGAGGGGAATAGAATCCTAAAAATAGTACATGTACTATATGTGTAGTGTAAATATAATGGCTTAAGATCATTAAGTTGTCTTCATGTTTCATCTAGCCATCTCAATTCAATCTTTTTCCTATTGAACACCTATACTGCACTAAATTTGTACCTATTAAATTTTTTTTGCTAACATGACACTGCATGTGTAATACACACACCTAAAGAGCGTGGAAGACATCATTTACTTAAAAATAAAAAGATTTTTTTTAAAATAAATTAAAGTGATATCTCTTTTTCTTTCTTTTACTCAACTTAACCACCATTGCTATCAACTTTCCTCCATCACCATTTCTTTTTCGGTCATTTTTTCATTTTTTATTTTTCAAGCCATCGTTTCTTTTCCTTCTTTCACCACCCACCACCGACATCATAAATATTTAAATATATTGTGGTAAAAAATAGAATTCAAAATAATTTTGATGAAACTCCATTTTTTCCGACGAATTTGAAATTATTTTTTTAAAAATCGTTAAGAAATTTAAATCCTAAAGAACTCACGACATAGAAGAAAAAAAGTATCAACAAATCTAAATTAATATTTAAGAAAGTTGTGAAATTGGAAGAAATACCAATTACAATAATTTAAGATTCAAGGAGAAGAATGATACATGGATGGGAAACAAATTCATATAATTTTTAATTGAAATGAAAAAGAGTCGAGTCCAAAATTACTATCGAAATGCTTCGATTTTATGTCTCGTGCTAAGAAAAATGGTGAACAGATGTCAGGGGAGGGATGGGGTGGGATATTCTAGGAAGAAGAAGAAGAAGAAAAGGGGAAAGAAATGTTTTTTTTAGATTATTTTTTTTTAGTAAAAACATAATTTTTGTTAATTTATTTTTTTAATTTATGTTTAAGTGTTTTTACGGGCCCAATGCTACATGACTCTTTTCTATTAGCTATTATACCACGTCAGCGTCGAGTGTAAGACATTCTCTCTTTACTTTTAGTTAATTGTAAAAGTATGTTCAATAGGTATTTTTTTTAAGTAAAAAGAGTGTTCAATTGGAACAAACTTAAGAATATGTGTCTAAATGAAATGTGGACAACTTTAGATGGATATAGATGACTTAAGCCAAATATAATCTAATCTTATCTTTAAACTTTAAATAAGACACATGCATTTGATAAAATGGAGGAAATTAAGTTGTAATGGAGGGGAGTAGAATCCTAAAAATAGCACATGTACTAAAATGTGTAGCATAAAAATAGCACATGTACTAAAATATTTGTGCATGTAAGTAAATAAATGTATTTACACTAACTCGTATCGGATGTTTATATCAATTCAATATAATTTTTATTATTATTAAATTTAATAAAGTAAAATAATCTATACATTTAAACATATGATAGCTTTTATTGACTTGGTGTAAATACCTGATACGGATAAATTTTACCTATTTACAAGAAAATTATTGTACTAGAATCGAAGCTTCTCATATATACATACATGTTTGATAATGCCTCTATAGGTGATAGTATTTATTAGTAATATTGATGAACCACATTTAATACTTTTGATTGATTCAAGTAACTCCATGACTCAAATTCGATGTTAGAGTAGAAATTAATGAACCTAGTTTTGGTAAAAAAAGTCACAATGCTATAGAGTCCTACTTGCTTTCTACAACGATTTCAACACTGAATACAGGTGAACTCATAAATATTTCAACGCTTCCTTGCACAACCATTATTTCAATATGGAAAAAAATAGGACAATTTACAATTTAGTTATTTTATTTTAAATTTCAAAGTATTTTATTAATATTATATAAATTATTAGAAGTTATTTAAATAGAAATGCTTTAACAAATCGATCCAAACACATTTTAAATCTCAATCATTATATACATACTATATATGTCAAGCATAAAAATTGTCGTCTCACAAACAGTAAAGCTGTAAATTATTGGAGGACTCCCAATACCGCACTTGCTATTACTCCCCCATTTCATATTAGTAGTTGTTTATAAATTATTTATTAATTACTAAAAATATAAAATAGAATTAATTAATTATTTTATTTTCAAGTATTATTATTTTTCTTTAAAAATACCATTATTAATTATTTGTATTAATTGATAAGAATATTTTAAATAAAATAAACTTCTTATTTATGATTTATTAAGAAGCACTTTAAGAAAAAAATAAAAGTACACACAATTAACTTTATCATGAGCTAATAAAGATGAAGTTGATAAGACTTGGAATTTTCAAAGGCCAATCGGAAAATTTTTTATGAAAGGTCTCCATGAAGGGAAATGTGAGTACGTTTTGTAAACATTAAAGGAAAAAAATTACTTGAATATATAATTTATTTTATTATATTTTTTAGAAAAATTATTAATTGAAACAATTATGAAAACTCTTGTTCACTCTTATTTTCAGATACATCACTATTACGCGATATTTCTTTGTCTCTAATTATTTATTCACTTTTAAATTGACACATTTATTAAGAAAACAATTATTGACATAGTGAATTTATTATTTTAACCTCTGTTATTATGAGGTGAATGAATTAAATATTTAGAATTTTTAAAATTATTGACACGGGTAAAGGTGGGGCTATATTAATATGAATGCTCCTCAATATTTGCCTAATTTCATCGTTAAAGTGGTAACTCACTCCAAGCCTTTGTAAATTATGAATCAACTCCAACTTAATATCTAATTCTTCCATTGATATCCCTCAATTCGTTAAAACGATTCATATACTTGTCTACCTACACAACACATTTTACTTTTTTGAATGATATGTTATAGAATAATTTAAGGTGAGAGAATAGTATAGTATAGTATATAGAAAATATATGTACGTATTACCACATATGGATTGTGTAGGGATTGAATAAATTGAAAATCCCATAGGGTAGGCTCGTAATTCCCTGAACGCCTAAGCAGTGGTGGTCTTCAAGTTTCATGTCATCAGCTGTTGATGAGCTGAATAAAGAGGATAATTTAGGTATCAGCCTCCCCATATTGGCCATCAATACTCACCATTTTGCGTGGATAGATATATGTTTTCTGAACTCCAATAACTTACTACTATAAATAGATAACTCTCCCCAGAGTTAAAAATGGTTCTCCACTACTTTTCATGTAGCTAGCTGCCATAGCCAGGTAGGGGTGGGCAAGGTATAATAAGATATTTGAAATTTTGGTGTTCTATTTTTAAAACTATTATATTATTACCATATCAATTTTATTCGGTATTGGTTCGATATTTCGTATGGTAAATCAGTAATATATAGAGTATTATTAACTTTGAACATTCAAAAAATAGTCTTAGTTGTATCATACTAACAAATTAAACATGTAGAAATATATATATACATATTCAAAAGAAAGTACAAACAAAATACATTTCAATCAAAAGAGTGAGTCCCTAGGTTTTAACTTCTAGACATTTATTAGTTTATACTAATACTAGATTGCATATCTGTTTGTATTTAATTAATAATAATATAGAATATCAAAAGATATAATGAACGTGACTATTGTATGAGTATGGTCCACCTAGTTAATTAATCCTTAGCTCTCTCGTACATATAAATTTGATCATTTCTTTTGTAACAAAATTTTCTAATGCTTTATTTATAGGACATAATATAGAATATCAAAAGATATAATGAACGTGACTATTATATGAGTATGGTCCACCTAGTTAATTAATCCTTAGCTCTAGAGTCCATATAAATTTGATCATTTCTTTTATAACAAAATTTTTAAATGTCTCTATTTATAGGACATAATGTAGAATATCAAAAGATATAGTGAACATAACTATTATATAAGTATAGTTCTAAGCTCTCCTGTATATATAAATTTGATCATTTCTTTTGTAATAAAATTTTCTAATGCCTCTATTTATATGACATAGTATGGAATATCAAAAGATATAATGAACATGACTATTAATAATAACTAGGGTTATGATTATCAAAAGTCATGAAAATAAACACAATTAAGGTTTTATATTAAAGAATATAAATAAATTGAGTGGTAGTTGACACATTCATTTTTGTACAATAATAATAAATAAAATAAAAAATAGTACAAAAAATGCAAAAAGGAGTAAATAGAATCTTTAGCCAAAGAGTGTCACATCACTTCTCTTTTATCTAATTTTATATACATAAATAGAGCATTAAAAAATTTAGGTATCAGCCTCCCCATATTGGCCGTCAATATTGTCACCATTTTGCGTGGACAGATATATGTTTTCTGAACTAAAATAACTTACGATAAATAGATAACTCTCCCCAGAGTTAAAAGTGGTTCTCCACTACTTTTCATGCAGCTAGCTGCCATTCCATAGCGAGGTACGGTAGGCGAGGTATGATACGATATTTGAAATTCTTATATTCAATTTTTAAAATTATTATATCAATTTTATTCGATATGATTTGATATTTTATATGATAAATCAGTAATTATTTTATGTTCGACTTTGACTATTATAACTTTGAACATTCAAAAAATAGTCTTAGTTGTATCATACTAACAGATTAAACATGTAGAAATATATATATACATATTCAAAAGAAAGTACAAACAAAATACATTTCAATCAAAAGAGTAGTCAAGGTTTTAACTTTTAAACATTTACTAGTTTATACTAATACTAGATTGCATATCTGTTTGTATTTTAATAATAATAATATATATATGGGGGGGGGGAGTGTTATAACTATAATATATTAAAACGTATGATAAATATATTATTCATTAATAAAACTTGTAACATATGTATTTTATAAATTATTTTATGTAATATGTAATAAAATTATATTATAAGTATATTAAAGTGATCCAGAAAAAAGAATCTTATTGCGACAAATGATAAATATTTTCTTAGTATATCGTATTTATGTAGTTCCCCAATTAATTTTTGGCACACAATGTGCTCTCTAGATTATTTTTACTTTGTTCTTTCTGAACTTTGCACATCAATTAAAAAAAAACAATGATTAGTATGTTTTTGGTATCTTCTGATATTTTCTCCTACTTTTTCTTCTTCTTCTTTTTTTTTGTTTACGAACATTGGCTAGGAGTTCAAAACCATGTTCCAAGTCGGAGAAGTTGACAAAAATGGCGTTTCACTCTTTAAGCATGGGATCAAATACTCTCTTTAAGTAATTACGTTTGGTATAAGTTGACAAAAATGATTTTATTATATTTTAAAGTATGTTAAAAATAATCTCTTTTAAGTATGTAGTTAACAATTATGGTCCTATAAGTATAGCAAAAATTATCACTTCAATTCTCCAACAAAATATTAGTCCAACTTTTATCTATAGTATTTGAGATGAACTAAAAAAAACAGCATAGTTTACATTTCCGAATTGTTTGAACAGAACTTCATCCGTGGTTGGATCAAATATGAAATCACAATTAAATTCTCCTATTTTCATCCATGTTTGCTAAGAAATGCTAAAAGCTTGTAACAACAATAACAAACCTCAACACGTAAGCAACAATAATATGGGCATCTTGTCAATCAGCAAGTTGTTTATGAATTTATAGTTCTGGAATTAGTTACACTTTTACTCGACAAACCTACCAATGAATGAAACTATGATAGTCAAAGGAAGAGGAGAGGTTAGGTAGTAAATTGTTGGTAGTTCCAATTTTTTTCTTTGTTTTGGAGGTAAAACGAACTGAGTCTCAATCACAAAGCAAGCTATGAGTAAACACAACTAATTTCTTCATCATCTACAATTTAAGGAGCTAGAGAAATAGCAGATTAATGTTCAACCATATAGTCTGTATATACAAGTATTACCTCTGGACAGATAGTCCTGGACAAAAAAGTTGGATAAATGAACAGTAAATGTTGAGACACAAGATTTATTTACACTAGGACCAATTTCCTTCGGAATCCATTTCAAAAAAAAAAAGCTTTACATACAGGTCTCATGAGAGGTCTATTCTGACTCTTGCTCTTTGTGGATGGCGAAACAAATGCCGCCTCCGTTTCCCTACAAAGCGCTTCTTCTTTGATCCTGTTTCTGGTTTTAAAATAATTGCTTCAGTACAAAGCTTGGAGTTGACCTCCTCCGAATCCTGGACAAAACAGCTTGCAACTTCCTCACTTGATGTTGAAGACAACACAATCTGGTCACTGGACACCTCTAAAACTTCAGGCACGACGTGCCTAGGTTTCTTTGCAGACTGCTCTACTAATTGTGAAGACGGTATCATTTCATTTTCTTTATAAACATAGATATCAGAGTAGTTAACCTCCCTATGGCACAAAGCAGAAGTACTGGGTAGGTTATTTTCCACACCATTCCGATCATGGTTCTCATTTTCCTCCTGAGAATCCAAAACGATATAACCTGCAAGTTCCTCAGGTGAAGTTGGCGAGTTATTTTTTGCTGCATCAGGATCAGATACCTCCTCTACTTTAGCTCTACGATCTTCCTCATCATGTATCTCTATAGAATTTGGATATCCACAGCCACTACTGCTTCGACAACCTGGATTCATCCTTTCAGTATTAAGGCTACTAGCATTTCTTCCAAAAAACAGGGTCTCGGATATCAAAATGCTGGAAGCATGTGCTGCTGCAAAATGTTCAGCAGGCTGACTCCTCGCTTTCATGGCTGGTGAAACAGTCATCTGCTCCTCAATTGTCTCTTCCTATAAATATAAGAAACAAGACACCAAAAGTTAACCAGTGGAGATGTGCTCGGATGCGCAAATATAAACTGGATGATAGACAGGAATAATGTGAAGTGGTAACACTAGGTTAAATATTAAGACAACTTGAGAAAGGAGACAAAATGAAACAACAAAATTGATTGCTTTGTCATATATGTAGGCCTTCTCTACCTTTTCCCGTACCACCCCAAACCTTTATCACCCAACATACAAAGAAATGGTTTGATAACTAACATCTGGAAATAATGAAGTTCCCTAAATTATTGTCCTCGCCATTTCCTTACTTCTATCGTGCAAATTTTATCACAGACAATTCCCTGGGAACACGAGCAATCACAAAAGAGAATTTGATGACTATCCATGCAACTATTCTATGGACTTTCATCCAGAAAGACCTATCATTTTGTCAAAAAAAAAAAGAAGCAAATTTAAGCAAAAGAATGACAAGATTGAGTACCTCTATAGGAGACATGACATTCCTAAATGGACTCAGTGAAGCCTTTTGCCCATAAAGCCGACAGCTGTCATAAGTAAGTGACTTTGTAGAAGCTGGTGGTCGAGACAAATCTCTAGAAACCACTTCTGATACTCCAGCACTCTTGAAACCCCTTATAAGGTTGGCTACAGGAGATGAAGTAGGAAGTTCATCCTCACATGACCTCAAGTCATCAGCATGACTTGCTTCTCTTGCATTGCAAGTTTCCTGAAGTAAGCTCAAACTAGCATTTTCCTCTCCTAAGCAATTGAAAGACGAGTTCTCATCAAAATCAGCCGGAGAAACCTTCTGAGTTTTACTTCTGGTTATTTCACAGATCAATCTCTTGATATGTTCCCGCTTGCAATCAACCTCTTCAGTTGAGAACCAACATTCAGAAAGCTGAAAAATAGAATATAACCAAACTATCAAATAAAGTTCCAGTAACATGAATAATCATTCAACACGAGAAACAATAGCAGCGCTCCAGTAGAAGTTGATCACATATGTAACTGTCAAGATGGTTTACCATCAACTCTAAGACTTTTAAATCCCTACAGGATTCACTAAAATCGTGCAATATTTAACTACAAACATCAAATTAATGAAGTAAAGATTCACAGAAATGAGAGAGGCGACATTTTTTGATAAAGAGAGGCGACATTTAACAGACAATAACTCGGAGAAAAGGGGCATCTTGTAGCCACATAGTGCAACACCCTGCAGATCTTTTTTTCGAGACAAGTAACAAAACACCCTGCAAATCTTAACATTAGGCCGCAAGTAACAAATGACAACAACAATAAAAAAAACAGATGATGGGAAGAGACAAGCACAATGAATCATCATAACTCGTAGGCTCACCCCCCACCCCTTTATTGAATTTCACAACTACAGGACAGGTACATTAAATAGCCTTAAGATTTTTTACCAAACTTTATTACTCCCATCACGAAGTGATACCAAGAAGTATGACAAAATGCAGACATGTAAGTTCTTAAGAGTTAAAGTTGCATGACGTAGTTCAGATTCAGCAACCTTAAAATTGCACCTCATCAACGAAACAGTTAAATCTATGTAATATTGACTAAAATTGCAGAGTACCAATAATCCACATCCCATTCACTTCCGTAATATTATATGAAACCTTGTTATAAACAGAGTCAGGTTAATGAGAGATGACGATGAGTGAAATGCAAAAGCTTCTCCAAAGTCAAAGATATACTCGCTTCATGCCTCCCAACTTTCATAAAATTATAATTCTCAGCTCAGATAAAAATTATATAACAAGGACGAGACAGCTTACAAATTTGGAGGATGCACTTATTAGGGAGAGCTTGAAGTTGATTGGAGCCTGCTCCAGAAAAAGTTCCACATAATGGAGCAGAAAAAGGCCACAATCAAATGAGTTCTCCTGTTGTGGCAGCTGGAAGCAAAAGTATTAGGAGTGCCAGAGTAAGATGTTTTTTCTATAGAAGACTCTGTAGCAAAATACAGATTTATTATGATGGTTTACTGCAAGTTTAATTTTCCAAAAGTATTTTCAAGAAGTACGCATGCGAGCTGCAACCACCAAACTTAACCCAAGTCTCGGCAAATAGATGAAATCATGAAAGAAACCAAATAGCAAATAGAATTGATACTGCAGAAAACTTAAAAATGTATACATTTGATGAAAACCCATTTGCAAGAGAATGTGGACGCTAAATCCCTTATTATATGCTATATAAGAACATTAAGGTAGTAATTCTTCCTGTAACACGTCATTTTTCACTGGAGTCTGCTCACCTCTTTGTACTCTTTTTCGTATAATTTGAGGCAAGGTTGATTGGGTAAGTAGAGGGGAGCAGTTCCCAAATCGACCAAAAAGGGTTCAATGGTACTGTTCAATATATAACACAAGCCCCAAATTTTGAGTGTTCCAGAGGCAAATGATCAACATTTATACAGTATAAGTAGAGCCCAAGAGCTTTGAACTCGAGCAGACAATTAACAAATGCTAAATTAGCAAATATAAATATGTGAGAAGCATGCAAAGTTCTCAACTGAAGGACTTGGCTGTTGAACTAATGCTACAAAGGCTAGTCAGAATTTTGCAGTTTAATTCAAAGAGCAGTATCATAGTTTTAGAAAGAGATGATTGCTTATCCAAAAAGTATGAGCATAGATCACCAGTTTACCACATAGGCCCAAGATTAAGGGGGGGTTTCCCTCAAATGTACATCGAAACAAATCAATCTGTAGAACTGTAACATTCAGCAGGCATGATTTGAAATTTGAAAAATCGCCATGTTCAAATGTAATAGATGCAAATTAGAAAACCAGTCGTCTACATGAGCTGTACTTTACATGGCCACAGTACTCGCAATGGATTTTAAAGAAAAAAGTGCAGAGAGATGATTACATTGGAGATGTAGAATAAGATTTTTTTAAAAGAAGTTAAAAAGTACGTTACTTTATAAAGAGTAGTTACCAAGGTGAGAGAGTAAGATACAGTAATTGTGACTCGTTTGGTTTTTGAACAAGTTCTCCCGGAATTATTCATCCCAGGACTGTTATCTCACCCCCTCAATGTGGAATAAGAATAACTTTACAATCCCAGGATAAATTATTCCACAATTTTATCCCAACCAAACATGGGATAAACTCATTCTAAAATTAGTCCAGCGATTAGTTATCCCTCGTACCAAGCAAGCCCTTAAGGAAGTTGGTTGAGTCTCCAATCCAAAAGTGCAGATTCTCAACAGCAAGTCGGGGTGCTTTTTGGTTGCAACTAGCATCTTACAAGTTCATAGTCTCTCATAATGTCAAATTTTTAGGAACTCAGTTCTTCCCATGTTTTCTCAAAAAACCACCTCACTTCTTTCCATTGCAGTTCTAACCCTGTAGTTTAAACAATTACAAAAACCACACCTATGCAAACTATGAACTTTGAGTAACAAATATTTCTTCATATTTCTTTATACCAATATGATTTACTCAGATACTGACACATACTTTATCTTTCAAGTATGTCAAGGAGATGGATATTGGGCTTAACTAAGAAACTTTTGGTAGGGTGTGTAAAAATAGAGATGAATAGGATGTATTAGTAATGTTGAAATTAGGTATGCACTTCCGGTTTGGTGTAAAAATAACAAGCATTGCATAGTTTCTAAATAAATAAAAAACTTGCTTACAATCATACCCTCCACAAATATGGTGGAAAGGATGTGGAAAAGGTTTTGAGGGGTCATTGTGTCTTTAACCATGTATTAATAACCCTTTTATTGTTAATACCATGACGTGCCATGTATTAGTTTTATGTAGCAAAATACCAAATATATTGTATAATGACATAGGTTGTATTAGTTTTATATAGATTGTATTATGACATAGGTTAATACCATGATGTGACATGTATTAGTTTTATATAGCATAATCCAAATAGATTGTATTATGACATAGGTTGAAAGTGTACCAAACAAAGGTATTAGTACTACACAAAGTCAATGCATCCTACCACACGGCCCCAGAGAGTTGGCCAATGAGGTAACGATCATCCAAACCCATATTAGACAATAACAGTTATTGACACACCGAACTGGACATTTGGAGTGTGAACTAGATGCCAAGTAACTAATAAATTCACTTCCCCAAATTGTAATTACTGTAGAGTAAATTAATTTAACAGAACCTCAGTAGATTATATTTATGATATTAAAGTTTATCGATTTGACTTATTAGTCGTCGGTCTGTAGACATGTCAAACCGTTATAA